TGAAATTATTAAAAATAATAAAATTTATTAATTATTAAAATTGAATCATCATCATCATCAACGATTTATTATCATTAATATTATTATTTTTTGTAACAAAAATACATAATTTTTTATTAATAATTAATAAAAAATTTTCCTTCCAAAAGTTTTATTTTTTTGTTGCTGTTGTTGTTGTTGTAATCGCATTAAAAAATTTTATAATATTTATTAATTTCATCAATTATATCAATAATATTAATAATGATAATGATAATAATAATAATAATTAATAAATTAATAAATAATTGATTCGAATTATATTAGTTTTGGGTAAAAATTTTTTAAAAATAATAATTTTTTTTATTTTTTACAATTATTATTATTATTTGGAGTCGTGGGATGATATTAGGGGGTGGTTTGGGGTGAAGGGGAGGGGGAGGAGGGAGAGAGGGGGAAAATATAAAAGTGATAACGATAAAAAAAAGAAAATTATTAAAAATCTTAATTAATTACGTAAACGAATTTGTTTTTCTTCTCTTTCTCTCTCTCTCTCTCCCCCCTCTTTCTCTCTCTTAGCGCCTTTTTTTTTAAATGATTGACAAAAAAATAAAAAAATAAAATGGCGGCGGGAAAGGACATTTAAAAAAAAAAAAAAAAAATTCAGACGATTGAACATTGATTGGAAATTTTACGGCCGAATGAATTCTCGTATTAATATCAGAAACCCATAATAAAAATAACATTGAACCAAATAAAAATTGAATCAAATTATTAGAGTAATTCAATTTAGCTTTTATGATACCTCCACGTGAGGATGAGAAAATAAAAAGAGAGAGAGAGAGAAAGGGAAAGAGAGAGATGAAAAAAGGATAAAAAGAAAAAAATGAAAAAAACGCGACGTTTTGTCGTACGAAAAAAAATTTCCCTTTCCCTCTTATTATACGATTTATATAATTTTTATTAATTTTTTTTTTTTAATTTTGAAAAATAAACACAACAAACACAGAGAGAGTAACAAACAAACAAACAAACAGACAAGCAAAAAAAGTTTCGAAAATTTTCCATTCATTTCTTTCCACATAAGTTTTAAAAACCATCAAATTTCAAAGGAAAGAAAGAGAGAAAGAGAGAGAGAAAGATAAAGACAAACTTTGATTGACGTTGTTGTTGTTGTTTGTACTGCGTTTGTTGTTGTTGTTTGTACTGCGTTTGTTGTTGTTTTGAAAACTTTTTGTCAAATCTAAAACAATTTCACTGAAAACCCATAAAATTAATAAATAAATATCAACAACGTTTTCCAAAAATTTTATTTTATTATCAACCTTAAATGAATATTATTATTATTTAATTCTCGTTTGTATAAATTATTTAAATCTTATCCTATTTTTTTCCCGCCAAATTTATTTTTTTTTACCGGCTAATAATAATAATAATAATAATAATAATAATCGTCATGTAAATTTAACGTTTACTTAATTTTACAAATCCCACGGGCATTAAAAACCAACAAACAAAAAAAAAAAAAAAGTATTTATGTTATTTAAATTATTGTTTTCCTTCCCCCCTTCCCTCCCTTTCATTCCCACCCTTTTCTTCCCTTCCTTTTCCTTTTTTTCTTTTATTTCGCGTGTTAAATTATCCTTTTCATCGAATTATTCTAATCGCACGACAAAAACAACAAAAAAAAAAAAAAAACAAACAAACCAACCTTCCACGACTCTCTATACCTCCCTCCCTCAATAACTTTTATTATTATTATTATTATTATTTATTTTATTTAAAAAAAAAAAAAATCTTAATCTTAAAATCTTATTATCACGTAAATGATAAAAAAAATTATCTGATAAGTAGTAGTAATAATAATAATAATAATAATAATAATAATTAATTACTTTTGTTAATTATAAATGAAATAAACGTGAGAAATTTTATTACTAATGATTTAATTTTTTTGGATTGATGAGGAAGGGTTGGGGTGGGGAGGGGAGGGAGGTACCTTATTCCATTTTTTTTTTGTTATAATCCAGGAGAAATGCATTTCGTACTAACCTTCCCAACCGGTTGGAGGGAAGCATTCAAACGAAGTCTAAAACTCCTGGATGTTTTTCCCGGAAGGAGGGTCGCTCGCGGGAGGTTTAACCTGCATTTCACCCCCACCCCCCTCCTGTGCTAGAACTATGAGGTCCACACTCACGATGATGGAAATCTTATCTGCGGAAAATCCGGGTACTTCCCTTTTTTTACCCTTCGACAGATAATCCCGATGTGTTACCATAGTTCCTGCCTCTTCCGCAGAGTGTGCAAGTTTCCGGAAATAGATAGAGAGAGAGAGAGAGAGATGTGTGGGGTAGCAAATCCCATTAATCCATTATCGGTCTTCCTTTCACATCACAGTTACCCTATTTGAATCAAGTATCCAGTTTCACTCCCGGGCGCGATTTTTCCCCTTTTTGAACTCAATCTCGCTGGATACTTCGAAGAGGCATGAAGATTTACCCCCCCAAAACCCAACCTTAAAACATCCTCTATACCTAGAGTAATTGGATTACAGGAATACACCACCAAGCACATAATAAACGACGATTCGAATAAATAATAATAAACTCGCGCCTAAAATTCGTGATAATAATTTATTAAAAATATCTATCCAATAACTATGTAATATATATATATATATATGTATGTATGTATATTAGTCGAGTAAGCCATTTAAAAGTCATTAAATAAAAGTAGTAGTGGGAAAAAAAAAATAAAATAAATAAACACGTAAAAATCCAAATGAATTTTTATTAAAAAAGTCATCATATTTTCCATTTTCTATTTTCCTCCCCCCCCCCTCTCTCTCTCTCTCTCTCTTTTTATACATTTTTCCAGCGATTTCCAATAAACTGAAATCATGTTTTCCAATATTTAAAAATATATATATATATGTATGCTTTCATCAAAATAAACATAGAATTATATACATTTTTGAAAAATTAATTTTTTTTTTTTTCATATTTATATTTGCTTACCATTTTTAAAAAAAAAAAAAAAAATTTCTATGGTAAAAATTAATTTTTTTTCCAAAAACGGAAGGGGGGAGGTAGTAGGGAGGGATAGGGAAAAATGGGGTTTCGAAATGGAAAAGGTTTTTCTCTTTCTCTCTCACACACAAAAGCTTAATCTTTTTTTTTTTAAATTAAATAAACGTAAAATTATTAAATTATAAATACGTAAAAGATTATATTATTATTATTTTTTTTTTTTAATAACGGTAATTTTATGGAGTTTTTCTTTCCTTCCACCCCCCCCCCCCCATTTTCCTCCATCTAGGAGTATTATTCTTCAGGTTTTTATTGATTTTTTTTTTTTTAAAATAAATTTTGGGGCCTTAACACACACATACGATTTGTGATTTCTTTATTTAAAAAAAATTATTTTTCTTTCTCGCACACTCTCTGTCTCTCTCTCTCTCTCTACCTCTCTCTATCTATTTCTCTCTCTCTCTCTCTACCTCTCTCTATCTATTTCTCTCTCTCTCTCTCTTTCTTTCTCTCTTTCAATTCAATTTTTTTAAATTATCAAAAATATATATATGTAATGAAGTCTTTGAAATAAGTAAAGATGTGGAAATTGAGTTTTCTAATGTTGGGGTAGAGGAAAGGGGGGTAGGGAAGGTGAACGGGGGAGGGGAGGGGAGGGGGGTATATAAAAATATGGAGAAAATCACTCGGTAGAATTGCTAATCACAAACAAAACCACTAACCGTAAAAAGGCAGACGGAAAAGGCAAAAGAGAAAAAGGGAAGAAAAAAAAAATAGAGAAAATAGAGAAATGGTTCAAGATTGTTTTTGAAAAAGGAATGAACGGGGAGAGAAGGGGAGTTAAGGGGGGCGAGATCCCCGTGTAAAAACGAGAAGAAAAAAAAAAAATCATTTGGAAAATGAAAATGTTACTTTTACTACTTCTTCCAACTATGCTATATTCCAACCAATGGTTGGATACGAGATTTTAAATTTTCAATTTTATTTATATATCTATAGCGAGAGAGAGAGAGAGGGAAAGAGTAAAAGTATGAGAGAGTGAGAGAGAGAGAGAGAGAGAGATAGAAATTTGGAGAAAAATTTTTTAAGTGTTTCCAGTCAGATGAAATCGTTGAGGAATTACATTTTGAAATTTATTTTTTTATTTTTATTTTTTTTTTTTTTTTTTACAAATTTTCTTTTTACTTCTTTTTTTTTTTCTTCTTAACCGATAAATTTTTTTTCTTTTTTTTTTTAATCATTTAAATTGCTACCCTTTTATAAAAAAAAAAACAACTCGAAAAAATAAATAGTAATAATAATAATAATAATGATTAAAATAATAATAAATCAATTAATGATCGAAATGATTTATAAAATAAAAAAAAAAAAAAAACGGTTTTATATCTTTATGTCGGTTTATTATTCTTAAAGAGAGAGAGAGAGAGAGAGAGAGAGAGAGAGAAAGAGAAAAACCTGAATCACAATTTGACACGCAAATATAACATTTTCCAACTCTGTTTGAATAAAAAAAAAAAAAAAAACAAAATCGGTTTGAAAAACAACAGTCTCACGCAATATTAACGTGATGTAACTCGTGCCATGCCTCTCCTTTGACCAAAAAAAAACACCCAATAATAAAAATCTCATTTTAGGAATACCTTAAAAAAAAAAAACTCAAACAAACATTTCATGGTAATCAGATTAAAGAAAATGTTTTATTGACTTTTTTTTTTTTTTCTTATTTTTAAATATCGACAAACAAATATGTTTTTTTTATATATATATATTTCATTTTGTCATTTAAAAAATGTAATAATGTATTCGGTTATAATGTTTTAAAAATTATTATTATTTTTATTTACGAAAGAAAAAGGGGGATGGATGGAGGGGGGAAGGGGGGGGGTTGGTAATAATATCAAATATAATAATGAATTAAAAATAAAAAATTTATTACAATTTAACATTAAATATCATTTAAACGATACTTATCAGATGATTGATTAATTAATTTTAATCGTTTCCATAACATAATAAATGTTCAATATCGACATCATTTAATTTTTTATCAATCCATTTTAATCGAACACCTTTTCCACACTTAACATTTAAATCAAAATCTTTTTTTATAAATTTAACTTTACCATCATTTATTTTTATATTGTAATGACTGCATTCTTTTTCTGCATGTCCAACACTTTCGAATAATAACAAATCGCAAAGATGATCGAGAGGATATGCCGAATTTTGACTACTGAATGCAAAATTCATTGATTGAAGTGCATATTTTCTAATTTCAGGTATGAGTGTGCATATGACACATAACAGTAGCGGAGGTAAATCTACCAACAATTTAAATACCCTAATGAAATTTTTAAGGTACCAATGAAATGATAATTTCAAACAGATTTTATATATTTTATTCGTTTTTAATATGTCATTTCTAACTCCTTGCATTAACGATTCCACATTTCCTAAATTAAATAACAAATATGATGATTCTATTTCCCATCTATTATTTAAATCACCACATTCGCAATCATTATAACAAACTAATAAAGACTTCAAACATTCTTGTATGTGTGTATTATTGATGGTAGAATCAAATCGATTAATGTCTTCCTCAATTAATACATAACTAAAATAAATTAAAAATTTAACAATCGGTTCTAATATTTTAATCATTTGTCGAGGTGGAAAATTTTGAATGATTGCATCTTGTCTAACGGAACGAAATCTATCAAACATGAAATCATATACAAAAATTGGTTTTTCTTTATGCAAGGGAAATACTTTTTTATAAAGATATTGTATTGTTTTAAGCAAAACTGGAAATGGTCTTAAATTACATGGATCAGATGTTTCTTTTCCAGCTGCTGACCTATTAAAACATTTAACTATTTTATCTATATCAAATTTTGGTGTTGAATGACATTCCGTTCCCAATTTAATTTCTAATTTATGTAATAATTTTTCTTTTTCTCTCTGTTGTGCTTCACGTAGAGGACACATCGTTTGACAAGTACCTCGTATACAAAAATCATCCATCTTTTTTTTTTTTTCTCCCCCCTTTTTAACACACCCCCCACAATAAATTCTTGCACAATTTTCACCTGAAAAATAATTCAATGATATTTAATTGAAAATAATAATAAAAAAAATGTTATTATGAAAATAAAAAAGCATTACTGTGTATGGATGATATCTTTATCGACAAAAATCATTGTTGCCAACTTTAGATTTGTATCAATATTAAATTTTTTGAAAAAATGTTAATAACCGTTTTAGAATTGAATTATATAAAAGAATATTAATAAATAAATTTATTTAGGAGTTAAAGTTACGGATTTTATTAATAATAATAATAATAATAATAATAATAATAATAATAATAATAAATATGAAGGAATCATTTTAAATATTAAAGAAAAAAAACTCCTACTGTGAATAAATATATTTTAAAATCTAAACCTCCATCAGGAAGGAAATTCATAAAAATAAAATTTATCGGCCATTAAACGAAAGGTAAGTCATTAAAAAAAATTAAAATTTCTTTTTTTTTTGGGGGGGAGGGGATGTAAACCCCAAAAAACTTAAAAAGATGTAAATTACATTTTTAAAAAAATTGTTGTTCAATGAAAAAATTTCTATGCAAGAGACTCACTACCAACCATTTTCATTTATAATTTGTGAAAAAAAAAAGCACTTTTCATTTCTTCCTTTTTTTTTTTTTTTTTACAGAAAATCAGAAATTATGTGATTTCAAATAAGTTTCATTCTTTGCATGAAAATTAGATGTTATCATAATAAAACTATTAAGTGAAAATTTCTTTCCTTTTCTTTACTTTACTTTTTTTTTTAAGAGAGAGAGAGAGAGAAAAAAGTTTTTTTGAAAAGTTTTTCAATGTTGAATAAACACGAATATTAAAATATAATTTTAATAGTTAGTTTTAATTTTGATTGAGAATGGGGGAAAAAGCGTTAAAACGAATTATAGAGTTATGGTGCCACCACTTCATAATAGTGATCATAATCTCAGATTAAAATTAATTACTCAAAAACTTGTACAATCTTTAAAATAGAATTAAACCTGACTCCAGTTTTCAAAATAACTTTTTTAACTACAACTACTTACTTACTTACTTAACTTTAAAGTTTTACTTTTAAATAAATTTTATAATAAACCTAAACCCACAAGTTTTCAATTATATTCTCCTTGAGTTTGCATTTATTTCTATGGTTTCTATGGACATAAATATCCCAAATTGATAATCAACTATGAAATTATTATATCTTTATCTAAATATTAGAAATGTATTCCTAAAAAATAAAAATGATATGAAATAATCCAAGAAATGTATTCAATATAAAATTTAAAAATAATTTATTTAATATCCCTTACCATAATTCAAATGGTATTCATAGAGCAATTTTTTTGAATTTTTCTTTTCTATCATCATTATTATCATTAATACAACATTTAAAAAATATGTAACATGTTAAATTATATCATTTAAATAATTGAAAAAAAAAAAAAAATTTCAAATTTTTCACTGCATTAAAAAAAATTTTATTTTGAAATTGATAAAAAAGGAAAAGAAGAATGTTTTTAATATTATTAAAAATGGCGGTTATAAATGTCGGGGAAGCAGAAAATTTATTTTGCGTAATGGCTGCCTTTATGAAATGTAAACGTATAATCGACTTAAATAATATATTAAAAAGTGAAATAAAAAATGTATATCATAAATCTTTATTATTTAGTACTCAATATAAAATTTCGAATGACTCTGAAGAGCACTTATTTAAAAAAAAGTTTAAAAAATCTGATGTTGTTAATTATATAATTGATAATGTCGTTGAAAAAACAGGTTAAAAAAAAAAAAAAAAAAAAACCAAAAAAACTGTGAAGTATTTTATAATTACTTTTATTTATACGATTAAAATACGTTGTATTTGTATTGTAGATAATTTTATAGTTACAAGTAAACCTTATGGAATTGGAAAAAAAAAACCAGTAAAATTTCAAGAGCATTATATTCCTCAAACCCACAATGATATTTTCTTGGAAGAGATTTTACCGGACGTTGCAGATAGGTTAGGTTATGAATCTCTTTTTCCAGTGAAAATTCCTGAAAGGTAGGTACATCATCTTGTAAAAACAACATTTTAAAAAATTATCAAATGATTTACTTTAAGAAGAATTTTCTTTTTTTTTCATTTAGATTTTCGTCTGGAGTTATGATTTTGGCCACTAATGAAGAAGGAATTAAAATTGTAAAAGAGGGTTTAAAAACTGCTAAAAACAAACATTTTTTAACAAATTCTTACTTAGTTATTACTGTTGGACATCCAAAATATGAAAAACTGGAAACAAAATTCGGTATGAAATGTAAAATGTCCAACAACGACAAGCATTCAATGGTTCTTGATGAATGGTCTACTAAAAGTGTTAAATTAAAAAGAGTCAAAGTTATCAGGTGGAAACATGAAGTTTTATCTACATCAGATTTAGTTAGTTTACTTAAAATTGATATATCAAGTTCATATAGTGACTGTTTAAGACTTTTTCTCGCCACTAAATGTTTTTCTCCAGTACTCGGTGACCAAATTTATAGTAATAGAATATTAAGCTTATTCGGAGTACCATTGGTTTTAAATCCGGAACACTCGTTGAAAACTCCAGAGGTACTTTAATTAATTTATAAACTTCATACTTTTAAATTTTTCTTCATGATTAAAAAGTATTCTTTTTTTTTTAGGAATTCAATCCAGAGTTGCTAAAGCTTCTTCAAATTCATGAAAATGAATTAAAAATAGTTCCTGCACATGTTCATTTGAAATCTGTATTATTAACTATTAAGAAAAATGATTTAAATTTTGAAGTACCTCTACCTGAAAGTTTTATGTGGACATGCAAGCAATTGAATTTAAAGTTTTAAATGATAAAAATATTAAAATTATTTATATATATGTGTGTATATTTTTATTTTCGATAGTTTAAATCCTTTTTTATCCTATTTTAAATTAACTTTATTAAGTTTCATTGTTATACTTAATATTCTTAAGATTTTTTAGAGCGTTTCTAATTTTCACTTATTTTTTACTTTTTGTAATTAAAAAACGAAGAGTTATCACGGTACTGAAATTATTAATATTTTTAATTTGCATTAATTTTATTTTCCAAAGTCATAAATTAATTACTTTTAATGATGATTAAATAAAGTCTTAATTCAAATATGGTCACAAATGCCTGAGCATAGAAGAAATAAACCGATTCCGTTTGATAAACAAACGACGTGGGAGAAACAAAGTTTTTTTAAGTTGGCAAAACTGTAGCGTGAGTTTCTTGTTTCTAATGAAACTTGCTGCCAAAAATGAGGAACAAATTTTTTTTAAGTTGGCAAAACTGTAGCGTGAGTTTCTTGTTCTTAATGAAACTTGCTGCCAGAAATGAGGAACAAATTTTTTTTAGCTTTATTTTGCTCTCTTGCGTGTAATATTAATTATATCACTGCCGAAAATAATGAAAAAGTTGTTCATTACACAGTGGATACATTTCCAAAAAAAATTTTTAAAAATAATCACTTTATAATGTTTTACGCACCATGGTAAGATTTTGGTTTTCAATTATTTTTTTTTTTCTTTTCATTTTTTGTTTTTTCGTTTTTTTTTGTTTTCTTATTTTGTTTTATTAACATAAAATAATTTATTGTTATTTATTGTGATTGCAAAAAATATATTTTTAATATTTAAATGGCGTTGTCTTTAACAGGTGCGGACATTGTAAAAGATTGCATCCAACGTGGGAGCAATTGGCTGATATGTTAAACGATGATCCGGAAAATCAAGTCATTATTGGAAAAGTTGATTGTACTGTTGATAGTGATTTATGTTCAGAAAATGATGTAACAGGCTATCCGACGTAAGTATTTATTTCTAATATCAATTAATTTTATGACGAGAAAATATAAATCCATTAATCATTTCATTTGTCAAATTAAAAAAAAAAAAATTTTTGAATCTTTATTGCAATAGTTTATATCTTGTAACACCAAATATTTATTTGTCTGATTAAGAATTATGATTGAATATTTTATTTGAAGGTTGGAATGTATAATTAATTTGAACAAACATTTTGTTTCAGACTAAAATTTTTCAAAATGGGAAACACAGAATCGATTACATTTAGAGGTACCAGAGATCTTCCTTCTTTGACATCGTTTCTCAACGAGCACTTGGGTAAAATTTTTGAAGATAAAATCAATGCTGGTCCAACAAGCACAGATGGGTTAACTGAACTAACAGACTCCAGTTTTAACGATTTCATTCAAAAAGGGAAATTTTTTGTTAAATTTTATGCTCCATGGTGTGGCCACTGTCAGGTATTTTACAATATTTCATTTTAAGTGACTTAAGTTTAGGTGACAAAAAAGAATTTGATTGTTAATTTAATCATTTGTTTAAATTTTTATTAGAGATTAGCTCCGACTTGGGAAGAGTTGGCCAAATCATTCAAAGATGATTCAAATGTTGAAATAGCAAAACTCGATTGTACAATTCACAGAACCGTTTGTAACGATTTGGAAATTAAAGGCTATCCAACGTTACTGTGGATCGAAGATGGAAATGTGGTGAGTATCTGCTTTAAAACATTTATTTTCTTTATATTTTTTTCTTCGATTACAATCACATTACAATTAATCTTTTATTTTTAAAGGTTGAAAAATATCAAGGATTGAGATCGGAATCAGATTTGAAATCATATGTAAAAAAAAAATTAGGATTGAAAGAAGATAAAACGGATGAGGATTCAGGGGGTTCGAGTGGAATGATCACATTAAATTCTGAAACTTTTCAATCTGGCATATCGGAAGGTTTATCATTTGTTAAATTTTTTGCTCCCTGGTGCGGTCATTGTAAAAGATTGGCTCCAATATGGAATGAATTGTATAAGAAAACTATGGGAAAACCAAATGTTAAACTTCTCAAAGTTGATTGCACTCTTGACAACAGTAAAGAATTATGCAACGAACAAGAAGTGAGTGTTTGAACTTGTGGAATTTATTCCTACCAACTTGATAAAAAAATTTTAAAAAACTAACGAATAATATTTTCCAGGTTGAGGGATTCCCCACATTGTACTTATACAAACATGGAGAAAAAATATCAGAATACAACGGTCCGACTAATTTAGAAGACATGTACGAATTTTTATCTCAGCATTTCATTCACGACGAATTGTGAAATGTTTTCTTGAGGAAAAAACAAAAAAAGGTAAGTTTATAGAATAAAATTATAAATAAATCTTCTTTTCATTCTGTCTTTCATTTTATTTTTAAAAAAAATATCTTTTTTTCGTTCGTTCGGGCCTTAATCTATTCGAAAATAACAATTTTTTTTTTTTTTTTGCAAGAAACATACAAACAAACAAACAGACAGACAGACAGACAGACGACAAACGAGTAAAACTTATTATATTTGCGGCGATATTTTACACAACCCTGAGTGCTTCTTCTTTTCTCTCTCTCTTGACATTAAACTAAACTTATTGCTTTTTTTTCCATAATTAATAATGTTATTGATAAATAGCCGTGCATGTTAAATCTAAATGTTCGGGATCCGGTCATCTAACTCTTCCGGACGGCGACCTAAGATGAGATCTTATATATCCGGTTCTATAATCGATGACGTCACGTCGAACGGGTGGCGGATTCCTATTACGTCTACTCCATCTGAGAGAGATAAAAAAAAAAAAAAAAAAGAAAATTAATTAATTTTTAATTTCTCTCCTTATTTCTTTCATTCTACTGTCTGTCTGTCTTCTATTATAATAGGTAAAAAGAAAAAAAAAAAAAACTAAAAAGATTGAGAGTGTCGTAAGTGAAACGTGATTGAATAGTTCAAATAGTAATTTTTTTTTTATTAACACCATACCTCTTCGTCCCTGGAACGATTCGAACGAAAGAACATTGACGTTCTTCTCGGTCTCGGTTTAAAAAGTCTGCTTTCCGGTTGAGTATCGTGATTATCGTACCTTGATTTATGACTATAGGTTAAGCTATTTTTAAAAACACACAACATAAATAGCAAACAAAATTAAAATAAAATAACAAACTAAAAACAGGGAAGAGAAGAGAGAAGAAAAGTAAAACAAGAAGAAGAAGACAGAAGAAAAGTAAAAGGAGAAAAGAGAAGAGAGAAGAAAAGTAAAACAAGAAGAGAGAAGAGAGAAGAAAAGTAAAACAAGAAGAGAGAAGAGAGAAGAAAAGTAAAACAAGAAGAGAGAAGAAAGAAGAAAAGTAAAACAAGAAGAGAGAAGAGAGAAGAAAACAGAAGAAAAGTAAAAGGAGAAAAGAGAAGAGAGAAGAAAAGTAAAACAAGAAGAGAGAAGAGAGAAGAAAAGTAAAACAAGAAGAGAGAAGAAAAGCAAAACAAGAAGAGAGAAGAGAGAAGAAAAGCAAAACAAGAAGAGAGAAGAGAGAAGAAAAGCAAAACAAGAAGAGAGAAGAGAGAAGAAAAGCAAAACAAGAAGAGAGAAGAGAGAAGAAAAGCAAAACAAGAAGAGAGAAGAAAAGCAAAACAAGAAGAGAGAAGAGAGAAGAAAAGCAAAAGAAGAAGAGAGAAGAGAGAAGAAAAGCAAAACAAGAAGAGAGAAGAGAGAAGAAAAGCAAAACAAGAAGAGAGAAGAGAGAAGAAAAGCAAAACAAGAAGAGAGAAGAGAGAAGAAAAGCAAAAGAAGAAGAGAGAAGAGAGAAGAAAAGCAAAAGAAGAAGAGAGAAGAGAGAAGAAAAGCAAAAGAAGAAGAGAGAAGAGAGAAGAAAAGCAAAAGAAGAAGAGAGAAGAGAGAAGAAAAGCAAAAGAAGAAGAGAGAAGAAAAGCAAAAGAAGAAGAGAGAAGAGAGAAGAAAAGCAAAAGAAGAAGAGAGAAGAGAGAAGAGAGAAGAGAGAAGAGAGAAGAGAGAAGAGAGAAGAGAGAAGAGAGAAGAGAGAAGAGAGAGAGAGAGAGAGAGAGAGAGAGAGAGAGAGAGAGAGAGGGTTCCCTTTTCCCTTTCCTCCCCAAACTACCCCGTGCCTCCCCTCCCATTCCCTACCTCCCCAAACTACCCCGTGCCTCCCCACCCATTCCCTACCTCCCCAAATTACCCCGTGCCTCCCCACCCATTCCCTACCTCCCCAAATTACCCCGTGCCTCCCCACCCATTCCCTACCTCCCCAAAGTACCCCGTGCCTCCCCTCCCATTCCCTATCGCCCCAAAGTACCCCGTGCCTCCCCTCCCATTCCCTATCGCCCCAAAGTACCCCGTGCCTCCCCTCCCATTCCCTATCGCCCCAAAGTACCCCGGGCCTCCCCTCTCCCCAAACTCAAGAAAACCCCCCAAAAAAAAAAAAAGAAAGAAAGAGTAACGAACATGCGAAGAAAAAAACCACATTCACAAATAAGAAAAGAAATTTTTTGTTTGTTTGTTTGTTAGTAAAAATAAATCGACAGAAAGAAGAAGTTTTTTGTTTTTTTTTTTGTTTGTTAAGTAATATATATAATCCGTGCGGTCCGAACGTAACAAACATTCTTGAAATTGTAAACGATTGGTAAACCCTTACCTCGCGCTGTGACTTAGCAAGATGATGTTTCTGAAAAATAATTAATAAAAATTTTAAAAATAAAAAAAATAATAAAAAATAAAAAAAATTTTACTATCTACTATACGTGAGATGTTATTATTCACTTTTTCATTTTTTTTTTTTTTTTTTTAAATTTTAAAATGCGTGTAAATTAATTTTAAATAATATTTATAACGAATTAATAATAATAATAATAATGATAATTTTTTTTTTTTTACAGGAGAGAAAGATAGAGAAAACCACCCACCCACACACACACCTCGGAGTTTTTTTTCATTTTTCATTTTCTTCCAAAAAAAAAATAAAGATAATAATAATAATAATAAATAAGTTCATGAGACGTACCTTAGAAGTCGTGTTATATAATCTGGCCAGTTTTCTGGAAACATGACCAGAAAAAATCCGATGGATATAAGGATGATCCCTGCCAATTTCATACCTTCGAATTTTGCATCGTAAAACATGACATCCAAGGCTGTAATGGAAAAAAAAAGAAAAAAACATTTTTTAGATTTGTTGTTGTTGTTTGTTTGTTTGTTTGTTTGTCATGTGAAATAGTGAAAATTAAAAAAAAAAAAATTTAGTCACAAAAAGTATTTTAAATAATGTAAATAATTATTATTGATCTTAGAGAAAATTTTGTTAAATAAAATAATTGTTAAAAAATTTATAAAAGGTTTTTGTTTTTTTGTTTGTTTGCTTACCTGCTGATACTGGAACAGCTGTTATCAATCCAAGTGTTATGAATAAATCATATGTGACGGCACAACTGAAATTTCCTAAAAGATTAGCGGCTGTAATAAAAAAAATGTAAATAAATTAAAAAAAAAAAAATTTTGTTTTGTTTTATCATATGGTAAATATTGTAGTAGGACTCACCGAGTGATAGCAAACTGGCACCAAAAAGTGCTGACCAGGGTAAAAGATTCCAATACAATATTTCGACGCCTGTGAAATAAAGAGTCAAACACAAAGGCCATAAAAGGGTCGCGTTGAACAATCCGATCAAAGAAAAGAAAAGCGAAACTTGACCGTAGCTCGCCTCACCGATGACTTTTTTAAACAAAACCTGTAAGAGTAATGCAAATTATTTGCTGTTTTTTTACTGTTAGCTCAGGATTAACAAACAAACAAACACAAAACCTTGTAAATTGCCGAACCGCCACCTGCACATGCTGCTAAAACGACACCACCTAAAGTCGGACTACCATTTATGCCATCCATGTAGGCTAATAAAGCGATGCCGGTATCGCAAAGTATAACTGCCACTATCTGAAATTTATGAAAGGATTGCACATCGATTTTTTTTTTTTTTTTTTTCAAAACGTCACCCGTAAAATAAACTTACTCTGACTCCGACAAATTGTTCGTGTAAAATAACCCAAGACAACATGTAAACACAAGAAACGTTTGTTGCAAAAAGTGCCATGACTTCAGTTGCCAAAAGTATTTTTAAAGAATGAACGTACATGTAATTAGTTGCCACCCATAACAAACAAAACAAACTGCATCTTGTTAGAAACCTCGCTGAAAAATAACCAAAAAAAATTTTATTAATCGTTTTTAATCGTTCGATCGACCGTTAATTTAAGTAATTAATAATAATAATAATAATAAAATGTAATGCATTACTTGCAGTAAAACCTTTATCCCTAAAATTTCTAAAACTTTCGCTAACTATTTTCCCAACGGAATTGCACTTGGATTTAATTAAATTTGCCATAAAATAAAGTGGAAAAAATAAGATTGTCCAATTGGTTATGAACCATGTTGTAAAAAAAGGAGCATCGTAAGTCACAATCTGTAAATTAATAATAATAATAATAATAATATTAAAATACATGAAAAATAATAAGAATAAATAATAATATTGGGTTGGCCAGTAAGTAATTACGGATTTTCCACCAACAGATAGTTTGAACCTGTTTTTGAGTAGGTTTACATTTTTCACAGACAACAGCTTTTGATATCTTACTATTCGGTTCTTTTTGTAACATTCAGTACCAAAATTTCATTGAACTCTTAATTTGGGTGCGAGCAGAAGACACTTAAACATGGGGAGCCAAAGCGAGCGAGCATTTCCTCCACATTTTACTTTTTTGTTTTTGAAAAGGCTGTTGATGCTTCACAAGCCAATAAAAAGTTGTGGGACGTGTAGGGGGATGAAGCCTTAATAGAACGGCAGTGTCAAAACTTGTTTGCGAAATTCCCTTCTGGAGATTTTCCTTTGAAAGGTGAGGAGCGCTCTGGGGGTCCAGTAGAGGTCAATAATGAGCAAATAAAGGCCCTCATGGATTATGATCGACATGGTTCGACAAGGGACATAGCAGAGAAGCTAGATGTGTCAGATACGTGCGTTCAAAACCGTCTGCGGCGTCTTGAGTACCAAAAGAAGCTTAATGCATAACTTTAGGGAGTGTGAGTTAACAAGACGACTTGGTCTTTGGGATATGCTTGTTAAACGCAATGCGAATGACCCTTTTTTGAAAGAATGGCCACCGAAGATGAAAAGTGGGTTGCGTACGACAACTTTTTGAGGAAAAGATCCCGGTCTAGGCAAGGTAAACAGGCACAAACAACTTCTAAAGCTGACATTCACCAAAAAAAGGTGCTGTTGTCAGTTTGGTGGGATTACAAAGACTTAGTCAACTTTGAGCTGCTGCCACGAAGTCAGACAATAAATTCAGAGGTTTACATTCGACGATTGACAAATTTAAATGATACCATCCAAGAAAAACGACCGGAACTAGCCAATAGCAAAGGAATTGTCTTTCATCACGATAATACCAGGCCCCTCCCATCTTTAGCCACTGCACAACAACTACTGGTACTTGGCTGGAATGTTTTGTCGCACCCTCCTTATAGTCCCGACCTAGCTCGAAGCGAGTATCATTTTTTCCGATCACTACAAAATTTTTTGAACGGGTAAAAATTCAAAGACTGCATTGGAGCAGTTTTTTGCTCTAAAAAGTAAAGAGTTTTATGAAAAAGGGATATTGTTGATACTACCGCCGAAAAATGGCGGAAGGTTATTGATGGACATTATAGAATAGATTACAATAATTTTACAATCGTTTTTCGTTTCCTTAAAAAAAATCCGTAATTACTTTGTTGCCAACCTAATAAATCCAACTTACATAACTGGATTGAAGGCTAAAATTAGAACTTTGAAATGCTGGAGTCGAAGATTTTTTTTCGTGAAGGAGGTATTTTATACAATGAGTTGCTCCGACCCATGTCGCTGTCACGCACATTGTCACCCAAATACCACAGTATACCTTTAAAAAAAAAAAAAAATTTTATTTAAATTACCAAATAATCAGGTTTTCAAATGATAATAATGATAATAATAATAAAAACCTTTTTTGCTGATTTTGAGCAACAAGAATTTTTACAATTTACAACCTTACGCCAAAAACCACACGAACTAGGAGACGTTTGTGTTATTTCTTGATTATTTGAATTATTTCCATCTTTAAAAAAAAAATTCCTTTTAAGTCAATTAAAACAAAAAATTTAAAAATAATAATAATAATAATAATTAATATATAAACCTGATTCCGTTTGTTGAGTATTTGTTGGATTTGTTAACGGTCCGTTTGATACATTTCTAGAATTTTCATCATCAGTTATAACAACGCTTGGTGTTCTAACTCTTTTCGGATTGAATATTGTTGGTATATCTCCATCTTTCAAATTATCACTTTTTGTTTTTTTATAACTCATTTTTTCATGAATATTGTCTAAAATTTCTAATAATCAAAAAAAAGGAAAATCAATTATTGGAAAAACTATGCATGCATTTTTTTTTTTTTTTTTTTTTTTTTACCTTTTCATTATTACTAACAACAATATCATTTCTTTCATACAATATTAAATTAAAATTTTAAC